CCACTACCGCTACCGACAGACGACATCATGGACTTGCTAAACATTTGCCTAACGTCTACTTACTTTCAGTACAACGGTAAACACTACAAACAGTTACACGGCACTGCCATGGGGTCTCCAGTTTCTGTTGTTATAGCAGAAATTGTGATGCAGAACATCGAGGAACGCGCCCTTTCGACTTGCCGACAAACGATACCGCTTTGGTTACGTTACGTTGACGACACATTCACCGCCGTTCGACACGACGAAATTGACGCATTCCACAACCACCTTAACGAACAAAACACTGACATACAGTTTACCAGAGAAGTCGAAGAAAATGGCAAACTTCCTTTTCTAGACTGCCTGGTAAGCCACAACGACAACTCATTACGAACGACAGTTTACAGGAAACCGACACACACCGACAGATTACTAGACGAGTCATCCTACAACCCTACATCACACAAAGCCACAACTATCAGAACTCTAACACGACGCGCACAACTAGTATGTGACTCGACAGACAGCTTATCCGACGAGAACAAATACCTTCACCGTGTTTTTACGAAGAACAACTACAACAACGACTTCATCCGACGAAACACTCACCGACCCACTACCACTACCGAAACAAACGACACCGCAACCCCTACGACTACAGCAACCATACCGTACATAAAAGGCATGTCTGAAAACATCTCGCGCATCTTACTACCCTTCAATATCCGCGTCGCCCACAAACCCATCACCACACTACGTCAGTTACTAACCAACGTTAAAGACAAAGACGAACCGAGGAACAGACAGGGAACGATTTATAAGATCAATTGTTCCGACTGCCAAGCCTCCTACATCGGTGAGACTGGCAGAAACCTCACAACAAGACTGACTGAACACAGACGGGCGACGAGGAAAGGTGATGTCAGCAATCACATTGCTGAACACCATCGACTTACCAACCACAACATTGACTGGGACTCTGCGCAATGCCTAACCTACAGCACTGACTATTTTCAACGACTGACTCTGGAAAGCTGGTTTACTAACTTAGAACAGACTCCCCTAAACAGATGTCAACAACTACCCGCCCCATACAAACGACTCATTCACGACATAAACATCACAAACGACCGAAAAAGAACAACCTAGCTTTACCGACAGACCGAAACAGACCAATCACGACCGACTTACGTCACTTGAGTCTTACAGCCAATAACATCACGGCAAAACCAACCGATCATTTCACACGAACTGGAATAAGAACATTCTACTGACAACAATCATTCACTTGACTCTGATGATGACTTCCGCACAGGTTGTCGAAACGTCAGTCACTGCCACCGACAACAGTCCTTCTCAGGACTACACTCACCCCGACGATCAGACTACACCTTCAAAACACTTTATTCAGTTTCGCTGGCATCTCAATAAGGTTCCATTCTCCATTTTGTATGTATAATTTCAAGTCAGCGGATTCCGAAGCCGACTCCATTGTCAAGTGGTTCCCTTAGAACGTCCATGAGCCAAATTTTAGCGAACAACTCCGTTTGTCAAATGGGAAATTAGCCACGTTGATCTTACAAGTGCTTGTAAAAGACGCAGGGGCGTTCCATTCATTGCCTCCCTCATCATACAAAATGACAGCAGTCTTACATTTTTCCAGTCCACCTCCGTTACTGTCATCAACGCTGAAGATAAAATTATGTGTACGTAACGTTACCACCTTTTATCTTTACTCAATTTTTTTCCCCAAATAAGAAAATGGAAGCTGGTAGAATCACAGTTTGCTAATGTAAATGGAAAGGTGCGTCCTTTTATGAACTAAAATGAAAAATCTTTGATTTCGATCGTAAAATTCAACTACCCAGATCTTTGAGGAAGTTGATAACCCCACATCAATGAATTTTCCAAAGGAAAACTATGACCAAAATGTTAAATGTGCGGTTTCGTGGTGAGTCATCGCTCAGAGTTTTTTTGGCCGGGTAGAAAAGATGGAAAAAAGAACTAATACTGAATAGACAAACGCAGGTTACTTGTTATGATTCTAAAGTTGTAAACAGCCGTGGAACTGAGAATAAGGACTACACCACATCTTATATTGTATCTTACTTGTTATAAAGAATGACGTTAGGTATCCATAGTTTAGAAGGGTCCACATTTACTGATTTTATTTCACCATATTCGGATGCGTTCGATCCTAGCATGGGATTGATCCATCTCTGATGAAAAACGAAGCATAAACAAAACATTTTTGATTTTTTATGTTGGTTATGAGTTAAGGTTATTTAACATATGCCTAATTTTTTACCTTTTAATCCATCTGTTATTTCTTTCTTTCTTTCTTTCTTTCTTTCTTTCTTTCTTTCTTTCTTTCTATCTCTTATCCTTTCTTTATTTTTCTATTTTTCTTTCTTTCAGAGTTTTTTTTAGCCAAAAATGATATTCCTTCCCCACCTATTAAGTTTCGCCATGTCCCATTAAATTGTTAGTCGTTGTAGAAAGGGAATTTTTGATAGCCACGCTTGAACTGCTGAGAATTCGTCCAACATTATTGAACAAGGAAATTGAAATTACCTGTCTAATCCAGACGTTGAGGGTCAGGAGTTGAGACTTGCTGTTCTGAAGGTAAAAGACAAGACATTTTTAGACTAATTAGCAATTAATTGTTTACGAAAATCGTTGAGTTTTACCTTAGTATCCTTTTAAGAATACGAGTTGTACATGATATTTTGGGAGATTTTAATCAGAAATTGTGGAACAGAGAATAATTCATCATTCGAAATTTTGGAAGTCAGGATTAAGAGAAAAGATTGAAAAAAACTGAAACAAAATAAATTTCTAGACTAAGTATATATTAAAACTAAATTACGTTAAACAAGCTCTTATGGACATCCTGTCGGCCTTTGGTTTTCAATTTATCAAAACTACCATGAAATTAACCTGTTGTGCTGCAATCATTAGGTCACCCGGCACTATCTCAGCCCTTTCTGCCCGAGTCACCCTGGCTGGGTTAACGTTCGACTTAAGTCGTCTCGGAGATGAGAAAACTCGGGAGGACTAGCCATCGGCTCGTGCTCTATACTACAAACTTTTCTCTTGCTTCCTCATTATTCATATAGTGGGTTGTTATGCTGGTAAACCGATAGAAAGGGTGGTCTATTTTTTGAAATATGTCCTAGGAGATAAACGTGGTGCACACGAATCTTCGAGAAAATTCTGAACGTGGAGACGATTCACACATCTAAACATGTTTAAAACTGGTGAAGTATGCATTCAGGTCCACCCAAAACTGAGAAAAATGCCGTACACATTTCTTTCTTTCTTTCAAATCTGGGAAATGGCTGCCGAACACATTTATTCCACGAAATTGGAGGTATTGTACGATTGTTCGAGTTCCACGGCAAATTTAGTTAAATGGGGTGACTGCGGCTGATTAAAGCTAACAAACGAGCTGGTGGCTTTGACCGACTTCCGGCCCTTTTTGAAAGCTCCTTGTCATTGTAACGGAAACTTTTGGTTTTCTGAATCTTAGTGGGACTAGCAATGGCAGTACGCCGGTAAACTTACCACTGAAATAATTTGTATCAAACTCAAACTAAACTTGACATGAAAAGGGCAACTTATGTTGAAGACTGGTAGCACTTGTTTATTTTAATTTTTGAAAAGATAATTTAGAAACTAGTTAAAATAGAGGAAATATCATAAAAAACATGGCGAAAAACAACAAAAACAACAAGAACCGCCTTTATCTCGCCAGGTAAATCAGTCAGTTAGGTAAGGAAACGTTATAAAATGCGAAACTAGAATTGACATTTGATATCGGTGATTCTGTTTATGTATCAACGATTTTGAACGTGAAATAGGTAAAAAGTAG